GAGGTGAGAAACCAGGACGGCCTGCTTTGTCCTGCTTTTGTCGAAAGTATGGATTGACCTGTTGGACATCACGAAGTAAACGCTCGAAACCATGACGCCTCATCCGGAAGCGACTTCTGAAATCCTTTTCTATGTACACTGACTTGGGGTTGAAGTAGTTGTTCATCAGATTGACATGCATCATCGCTCTGTTTCGTGGTTTGTAAGAGCGACTAGCAACAGAGCCACACCATTGAGGTTGTTCCTTAGTTGGCTGACACACCATGACCACAGCCATGGCTGCTGCTTTGTTTTGTTTGTTGTGCCTTACTTGAACTTCTTCATCAGACTCCTAATCTTCTCGTCTCATTTGCGCCCATTTTTCTTCCAATTTGGAATTTGATGAGGGCCCCCAGTTGGAATCCGAAAAGGATCCAAAGTTGGAATTCATTGCAAACTTGAATTGAAAGAGATTGAATTGAAATAGATTGAATTCAAAGTTGTGTGAATTATAGCCCAATATCCACTCTATTTATAGAAAAAAAAAATTCAAATCCAACGGCTAGCTGACATCACTTAGCCATTGGGTTTGAATTTAAGTTGTAGTTTTTAAATAATAAATTATGTTTGGCCCTTTGGCCCTCGGTTGGAGATGGAGGCAAATATGGCTATGTACTGTTCATTAAAATATTAATATCCTGGAGGGCCAATGGGCTAAAATGAGCCTTCTGGCCAGTCCTCGGTTGGAGATGGCCTTAATGTCTTTTGTTATGTCCCCAGACTAAACGGTACACCAAAACAGAGTTGGTAACTCCAAAAAATAACACATTCATAGGAGTTCAATACAAATTAGGGTTACAAACCTTTACTCGCTTTCCACTAAATATCAATCTTTTGGGATATGAAATTCAATTTGAAACTCGTATTTAATAAAAATAGATGACGACATCTAATGTTAGTTATAATATCTGTATCAATAATTGTTTGCTAATCAAGCTTTATAAAAAAAAATGTAATTGGTTGTATGAGGCCGTGGAGTTGGATGCTAGACCAACAAATGCACACCCTATATACCCCAGAAAACTAATAAAACACCATCACCGCGGATCACCATCGTCACCATTTGATATGTGATGTGGATGCACATATACGTAACACATCCCATGCAAACACACACACGCAAATAGGATTGACAAGGCCAAACAAGAAGGATATATAATTTGTGTACCAATCAAGAGCTTAATTAATAATTAACATAATTCGCGTGTTCATATTGACTAGCAGTGCAATCATAGATATATGATTACTTGGACTCTCACTTTCACGACCTCTAAATTCTAGAGTGATCTATATTAGTCAGGTGTAGACCATCATGCCAGCCCAGTTAGATGTATACACATCAATAAGTTTAACTTATGATCTCAGCTAGCTAGTCACTTGAAGTAGAAGTCACTTAATTTGATTTCAATAATTTTCTTCTTTCTCTGGGCAATTATCGACATCAATAATCATGATTAAATTATTTACAAACTAGAAAGCTGCTTCTAGCAATTTATGCCACTTTGAATCGATGGATCGTGTGTGTGTGTGTGTGTGTGTATCTATTTTGGTTCGACAAATGATACAATCAATGACATGCAAACATAACTATCTATATATGTATATACTAAACATATATAATTTCTCATCAAGCCAGATTAATAATGGACATCAATAATAATTAGATTATGCAGGCAAAAATCAAGTTGCCAATTAATGGAGATGATCAAGGCGTGATAATTAGGAGGCAATGAACATCACAAGTTTCTCATTTAAAAGAATTTTTTTTTTTTTTTACAAGTTTCTCATTTTAACATATTTAGTTATGAAATTTGTCAGTTTTAATACTATTAAGGATAATGCTTGCATTCCTTTCTTGAGATGAATTTATCCCCCGATTACGAGTATTTTAAATTTCATAATCAAAAGCGTTCAATTTCTTAATCTTCATTTGAAGATCACCCATACAAAAAATCATTTTAATCAGAGATCATTTAGTCAGTCAAATGTATAGAATAAATTGACGGTGTAGGTATTAAGTAACATATTCATGATAAACTGTCCATTTATTTGATATATTTGGATGATTAAACGATCTCTAATTCGAATGATTTTTTGTAGGAGTGATCTTCAATAAAGATTAGGTATTAAACGATTCCATGGCCAATCGTTAATTTGATTCGATCAAGATATGTTATTTACAAACAGGAGATATGTGCACCCCCGCATAGAATATGCTTTAGTATTATCCTACGATTAATGCGGCAAAACTTAGAACATGGTGTGTGTAGAAATGCAAACACAAATTGACCACTACTTCCGGGAAAGATCGCAAGCAAGACAAGAAACATTGTTGCCGATGTTATCTGGTTTGCTTGTCACAAACAAACCAAAGCTTACAAATAAAGACTAGCTAGCTCGACTAAAACCCTAAAGGCGCATTCACTCAACAATCTTCCTGCAACCACTCTCTGCCTTTCAAAGATAAGGACGTTAAAGACCAAACTAAGCACAACGGTTGGGCGGTGCATGGAGGACCCCAGGGTTCAGGCCAGTGGGGCAGAGAGCTCGACCATGGCCCCCACATATATAGCCCTACGTGAAAGCAAAGCTGCATGCGAAGGACCCCTTGGCCATTGAATGGCATTGTCCCTTTTGTCTATGGATGAAGAGGAAAGAAGGTGACACTGATTTAATAGGGTGGTCTCCATATCTCTCTTTGCATCTAAAGGGCATGGGCAATTTGGGCATTTGCCCGAAAAGTGGACAAGGAATTAGGATTTCGATTATTCCAATTGGTTTTCTATATTTTTTTTTTCCATGCATTCTTGTAAATGCAACAACAAAATTGTTCTATGATATTTTTTCTTTCTTCGTTTTAAAAACGGCCTACCAAATATTATTGATGGTTAATATGTAATTAATGACATAACGAGATCCGTGAACACAAAGCTACATTTTCCCATAAGAATGTAGGCACTAGGCCCCCCTTTGTTTTGTTTCGACATAACAAATTTTGGTTTTCTTTTAGCTAGAAGACTGAAGACGGATAAAATATTTTGGACTTTTGATTATGTGATGTTGGTACCATCTCAAATTCAACAACTCATATTCCAAATTTTTACTTGTTTATGTTTAGCTTGGTATGAACCTCATTCACTTACAAACAAACCACATTAGTTGGTATTGATAGTTGTGATCGTGGTGCCACTTAATAATATAGTCTAATGGTATTCTTATTTACTTGTATGTGAGAGGTCTTAGGTACGAGCTATGAGAATAATGAGTTCAATACTAATTTATTCCTCTCTCATTTTAATATGAATATATTGTTGTATCAAAAAAATGTTGATGTTCATTGTGGTACACAAAATCCTGATGGATTTCTTTTGTATATTTTACTTTGGTACATTAAAAGCTCGAAGCCTTATTTGTTTTTCCTTGTATTACTTTTAAAAACTAATGAGGCTATGTGGTGTGCAGATCGAGCAATGAATTAGCTAACTACATCATTATGGTGAATGCGGGCGTGCCAACTCATGACCGAGCTCGGTCGACGAGTAGAATAGATGTGATGGTGGTGTTGAATGCACTGTTGACTTCTGTACTCAAGCAATCACAGCCGAGGAAGGAACGCGTCACAGTCTTAGGCTTTAGAACCTGAAGACAAGGTTGCTTAAATCATTGCAAAGTTCAGGATCTCCTGCACCAGGTTCAACTGCCTTAACTATATTTGTGAAAATATAGGTGTTCTGAATCGATATCAAGATGTATGTGCACATGCACTCAAAAGAGATGAGTGTCTTTGAATGTTGTTCGGCCATTTGAATGCCGAACTTTGAAGTGCACTTGAGAATAATCAATCATGGAACACTTCACTCGGCTGGTAACCTAATGAAGTGACCTCGTTCGGCGAAAAAATCAAGTCTCCTCGTTGGCTGAGACTTGGATAAATAACCAATAAACTTGAAGTAATGTACAAGAGAATTAGGATAATTGGTGTTTTTCTCAGAACATGTGAGAAGTGTCTCGTGAACAGCGTTTGAGTGCTCAATTTTATACGCGGCAATTCCACCAAGATCTCTTCTTTAGTTAGGGGAAGAATCTGTACGAATTGGATTTTTGAGGAACATATCCAGAGAGAATTGTTTGTTGAGTTGAAGGTCATTTTTCTATTATAAAGCACCTTGGATTTATAGGGATGAATTTCGTGATGACCAAGTCTACCGAAGTAGAATCCCAATAGGCCTATGATTCTTTGGCACACATCAAGATATTGTTGACATTTTCTCATCATAACCCTATCTTGCCGAAACCTCATCTCTATCAGACCTCGACCTTTTTTACTTGAACTAGGACTCTGAACTTAGTCCTCTTATGCATTCGATTCACTTTTTATCTGATCATTCGCATGTTTTGATTGTTTGAATCTTACCATAGTATGTTCTGATTCTTACCAATTTGGATTCAATCAAGACTCGACCGAGCCATGCCTAGATCTAATACTTTAAAAGCCCTATCTCAGCTATGACTCGATCATATTATATATTTCTAAGCTAGGGCCATAGAAATCGCCATTGGGCCGAGAATCACAATCTTTTAACTAAATTATCTCTCTTCGTCCCAAACCCAGTATTTCAGGCCCAAACACATTCCACAGAAAGCATTCGAACTTTGAACTAGCATAATTCTAACCTATTATCCTCCCCCTTCAACACTGAAGCTAAAAAATTAATCTAAAACTCGAGCAGCCCATGCATCATAGCTGGAGGGTTTCGAATTGGAAAATATCTGACGGAAGAATCAAATCATCAAAATATTCTCGTAGGCTCAAATCTCCTTACAATTTAGCTTAGTTTGAGGTGTCATGGGCTTTTAGGCCCATACATCAATTAAGTTAAAAGTCGGGCCTGCAAATATGGGCCGCAATGAACTGGGCTACGTACAACTGCAAATACGCGGGTCTTCTTTGTTCTTGTTTCCTGTTAGTCGGAGCGCTGTAAGCACAAGGAGCAAGAAAGCAAAGCGAGTTCTTCTCGAGATCCAGAGCTCGCTCGCTCAGAGTCAGAGGTAGCGTTTCGAAAGCAAATCTTCAAATTATCAGAAACTCAGAGCTGCGCGTCGCCAGAAAGTTTGAATCTTGTGAAGCCGATGAGGCTTTTGCAGTTGGCGTTCGTGGTTTCTGTTCTGTTCGGATTGGTCGCCATTCTCATCTACATCATCGGCGTCTCCGATCTCTGTATGCTTATCTTTCTCCTTCTCTCTCCTGTTTCTCTCTCTACAAGTGTTGAATTTGTGTATGTTTATGTGTGTGGTTTCAATTCTGTGGTGCAGATGAGACGCATCGACTTACGGAAGAAGATGAGGAGGCGCTGCATTCTTTGCGCACCGGTTTCCAGAAGTGTGTGGTGAGCCTTCTGGATTTTTCTATTATATATGTACTGATATCAGTTAACATTCATTTTTCTTTTTCTTTTCTTTTTTTGGATTTTTTAGTGTATATACTGTAAAATTTGCATGCTTTTGCTTGGTAGAACATGGTAATTTATGTTGAATTGAGGTACTCCAAAATGGGTTTTGTTTGTGTTGTCAGAAATGTTGTAAGGTTGGGATGTCATATTAATATGACTGTGATGCAGGCTGCAAATGGATTAGGTTTGAAAGCCGCGCTTGGCAAAGATTACTGTCAAGTCACAATGCAGTTTCCTGCTGACACCATTCCTAAATGGGTGAGTTCTTTTTCCCGGTTGAAATGTTCTGCATTTGCGAATGAGATTTTATCGACAATTGCGTGTATTTTCCATTTGAGTTGGGAATAGGGATAAGATACCATAATCTTTAAAATGAAAAGAAACGGTGGTAAACTCCGTTTTGTATTGATTCATGGTCTCTTCAAGCAATACTCTTTAGAAGTTGGAATGTCTCGGCATCTCTTTGGGAGATGATTTGGTTGTAGACTAATTTGAGTTGCTCCCGTGGGCTTATCTATTGTCTGAATTTTATGTGTAAACAGAAGGATACCAAAACCGGTGAGCTTGAAGGATTATCATATGAGTTTAATCTTTGTGAGGCTGTGGCTACATGGGAACAGGTTAGCGTTCTATCATTTGTAGAGATTTGCAAAAGACTTAAGAACTGAGATCTTTCATTACTATGTCATCAATTGAAACATGCAACTTTGCATGTCGAAATCAATTTCTTCCTTTTTATATCTACCTTTTCAATGTTAGGTTTGATTATGTTTTATGCTTTACAGTTGATTTGTTATTCAGTGATTTGATTGCTCAGGTGCGGAATAGTACCACAATACTGACCAGGGAGTTCATTGATTCTTTACCAAATGGATGGGAGGATTATGCGTGGCGTAGGATTAATAAAGGAGATCGCCTGTTAGTACTGTTCATGATACTAGTTTCACAATGAATAGTTATTGGATGAGCATGTAGTTGATTAACTGTATTTCTGTATTGCAGCAACCGCTGTAAGAATAAAACATTATGCGTGGAAAAACTTTCACTGGTACTCCCTGAAACACCACCATATGTTCCACGGATGTTTCGCCGATGTGCTGTGATTGGAAACTCAGGAGATCTTTTGAAAACAAGGTTTGGGAAGGAGATTGATGGTTATGATGCAGTTATTAGAGAAAATGGTGCACCAATTCAGGTCAAGCAAACTCTAGTTTAGGAGTATGGATAGTGATGTTTACTTGACTTTGAGAAAACTTCTTACCTTGTTCTTCTGCAGAACTACACTGATTATGTGGGGAAGAAATGCACATTTCGGCTTCTTAATAGGGGATCTGCTAAAGCTCTTGATAAAGTCGTGGAGTTAGATGGTATGATAAATGGTCCACATTGTTATAAATAAATATGGCATATTTACTGGAACACTAAGTATAAAATTCTTGCAGAGTCAAGAAAGGAAGTATTGATCATCAAAACAACAATTCACGACGCTATGAACCAGATGATTCGGGTTTGTATATTGCTATTCAATAACATGATGTCTTGACTTAACACTCAAACCAAGTACTTGTTGCTGCATATGTTTTCTTTACCTGCAATGAGTACTGATGTTTTGTTTGTACAAATTTTGATTACCATCTGCAGGAAATTCCAATAAAAAATCATGTATATCTCCTGCTAGGTGCATCCTTTGGTTCTGCCGCAAAAGGAACTGGGCTCAAGGCTCTTGAATTTGGGCTCTCTATATGTGACTCAGTCGATATGTATGGTTTCACTGTAGATCCAGGATATAAAGAATGGTAAAAGGAATTCCCTTCTGCTCCTGCTGCCAACATGCTCTACTTCACAATTTTAAAATGTTTACCTGATAAAGGATCTTGAACATACTTTTTCAGGACTAGATATTTCTCAGAAGCTCGACAAGGCCATACTCCTCTACATGGTAGGGCATACTACCAGATGATGGAGTGTTTGGGTGTAAGTGTTTTATTTTCTCCTTTTGTCATTCCGTAATCTGCATAAGCAAGCAATATTAGTAGAAGTTTCTTGAAAGTGCTATGGGGGAAGAAACCTCCTTTTATGGATCCCAGATGGTAAGAGTTTTAGCCTATTCAAATAAGTTTTAAGTGTACAGAACTGTAGCGTCTCTTGTTTGTCTATTTGAGAAAAGTACTTACCTCTTGTGCTTATTTTCTGAGAGAAACGGTTTATGTGTAGTGGGTAATTTTTCTTATGTTATTAATACGTTTTATTTTTCTCTTGTTAAGCTTATCAAAATTCATTCGCCTCTTCGAGCTGATCCAAACCGTGTTGTCCAATGGGTACCAGAACGAAATATAGTTACTGCTGCTAGAATTGCATCAGAGAAATTGTTGAGGTAACTTAAAAATTTTATTTACTTTTTAATGAACAAAGTCAAATTGATTCTTTAAAATGTGCAACTATTATTGCGACCTTGAGTTCAAGGTTCAACCAAGATTGAGTCATATATCTTTATGAATCTCATAGATCGCTATTACAGTTAGGAACTTCTGATGCAACCCAACAATCCCATCCCAGTCAGAGGATATAAGTCCTATTGCTTGTAGTCAGCTGGCTCATTGCTACTGACTATCAATAAAACTCATGAAATAAGTTAATAAATAGGGTAAGAGAAGAGGTTCGATGACATTGATGCAACTTAAAAAAATGCAAGTTCTCCTCAATATCCGGTTGTTTATATAGGGAACTTGTATTCGTCACCTGGTGCTCTATCTTTCCTGTACATTTCTGATTTTTAGTTCTGCATTGTATTGCAACGGTTTTCTATTGCAAGTATTTGATTATATTGTTCCACTTCAAAGTGTTAATTATGCTTTTGTTTATGACTATAGGAGAGTTGGAGCAGGGTATGTAGATCCACTGCGTACGTGTTCAATTGTAAAGAAGCAAGTCAAACTAAAGCTTACATCATTTCTAAGTCTAAGAAAGGCCGCAATAGACCATCAGAAATATGTGAAAAGTGCAACCATGTACCCTCTGGAGCGTAGTCCTCGGCATGGTATGCTTTGCACTGTGTGAACCATTTAAAGTTGAGGTTCCTCGGCCTTCCTTGCACCGAAGCAACTAAACAAATCTGTCAGCCCAATTTCTTGGGTCCAAGCGTCATAACTTAAGCTAATGTACGTAGAAAAGAGTGGCAGCTCAAAATTGTTCAGGAAGAAGATCAACACCCAGCCTACTCAATGTAGAGTTTTGAAAGAGTTGTAAGCTTCTTGCGGCCCTGCATTTACATGATTTTGATTTTTCCATAGCCAAAAAGGAAAACATTAGGATGAGATATGAAGATTCAGTCCGTAGCATCGGTTCACAGATTGTTTTTCGGAATTAGCAGTGTCGTATGTGAGGGTTTTACAAACGATTCTTTGGACACGAGACAGGTCCGTGATTTATATAAATTGTGTTGTATCTGAAAATTCTTATCCAATAGCTTGTATGAAGGAGGAAAATGGAATTAAAATAGCTTGTGTTATTTGTCACACTTGTGGTGTGTACGCACAGCTCTTTTTCTGACGACATAGTTGAGAGTCCCTGCTGTATATTTGCTTTTAGATGTACTTGCAGTTGACTGGTTGCAAAATTTGAAATTGTTGTTTTGCTACTTTCATGAGTGAGGTATCTAGGACTTTGATGGAGCATTGATCATTGGATTTGGATCCTACTGGATCCCCTTCTTGGGGATTTTAGGGATCAACGAACATGGATTGTTGATAAAAAATCATGTGGTCTGAATTAAATGTTTTTAATATTTTTAAAAATAAAATATCATCGTTTTACGTGAAAAATATAAAAAATAAAAAAATTGTAATCGCATGATTTTTTATTAATGGTTTGTGTTTGTTGATCCCTAGAATCTCTAGAAAGGGAATCCGGTGAGGATCCAAATCCTTGATCATTGATGCCTGGCTTTCATTGGGAAAGCTGCTGCAGGGCCTACTCTCTCTTTCTCTTTTGATTTTTAGTCTTTTGTGAGCTTCTTTAATTGCTTCTTTGCTTACCAATTTCTTGAGGGATTAAAAAAAACTGAAAATTTGAGATTAGCCTTTGAAACTATATTTTCCTCTACTAAAATCTATTTCTTTTTATTTTCTTGAATAAAGCCATTGACTAATCTTCAACAAATTCTTTAATTAAGTTTGACTTTTCAAATTGTGTATTTTTCGAATGCCTAAACTACCCCTATTAATACTTGGATGGGGTTTTTGGATCAGTTACTTATTATATCCATTTAATTAATTTTATATATTTTACAAAATAATTCATGTCATTCATTGTATATTTAATGTATTAACTTTCAAATTGTTATAACGTGCTAATTGAAAAATAATAATACTAATTTCATAATTTTGTGCATTACATATATAAGTTAATTTACCTACCAACACAACAATAAACCTAAAACAGCTTGGGCTAATATTCCAATCCCTAATACACAAAACAAAAGCTATATGTTCCGCACAATTCTCACCTACAAAATAGTCTAATTTACCTATTACAGCAAACCAAAATTTAAAGGGTCTAGTTTACTTTCAAAATGGTCTAATTTACCTACATGATTTATGTGCATTAGATTAAAAGTTTATTTAATTGCCTACAAGCACAAACCCACAACATTCGAACATTATCTGATATCACTAATTTTTTTTTTTTTTTGGAATAGGTAAATTAATTTCAATGTAAGTAAATTAGTATAATATTAATAAGTAGGTAAATTAATTTAAATGTAGGTAAATTAGTATAATATTTTATAAGTAGGTAAATTAATTTAAATGTTGGTAAATTAGTATAATATTTATATGTAGGTAATTACATGATTCAAAATGCAGGTTTATTAGTATAATATTTTATAAGTAGGTAAATTAATTTGTATGTAAGTAATTACATAATTCAAACAATATTATTTTTTCCGTACAAGATTGTCTTTCTCTTTTAAATTTGGTAAATTAATTTATATATGTTGCTAATATTTATGATACAAGAAAGGTAAAATATCCATATGGATTTAATTGCTCATCATAATTAGGATGAGTAATAACATTTATTGACCAAATTAGGATTCTATGGCATAAGTTGTAATTGTATTGTAATAGTTGGTCATATATTTGTCTACATGGTAGGCTATTTGAAATTTGGGTTTTATTTGAATGTTTAAATTTAGATGGGTTTTTATTTGGAAAATAGGAGTTTCAAGGGTCTATATCTAAAGAACCCTAAAAAAAATACCTGGCTTTCATGTTTGGGGTTTTTTTAAAGAAAATTTTAAGGAAAACTTCTGGTACTGTTTACTTTAACAAAAAATTATATTTTTACATTAAAAAGTCAATCTTGATACTATTCACTTCATCTCCTATTTTGTCCTTTTCATTAAAACTCACAGTTTTCAAATTTTTTTCATTAGTTTTATTTTTTTATTTTTTTGAAAGATAGATTACAGGTTGACACATGCTCTTGAAATTTTCTTTTTGTAATATTGTTAAGTGACTAAGTACATGTGTTTCATTATAATACAATTTGCATGAAACAGATTCATCATAATGTCTCGATCCAATAATATTATGTCATGTGAAAAAAAACTTACATATAACACAACATTAGTGGATTGAAACATAACATTATGTCGATAGTAAACCCGTTGTACACAAGTCCTTTTCCCTCTTCATTTAAAATGCAAGGATTGTAGAAGTGTTCTTTTTGAGTTAAATCTAGTTGAATGAAAGAGGGTAGAAGGAAAATTAACTCATCCTCTTTCTAGAGTGTATACATCTTGTTTTTGCTGGAATTCACACGTGGCAACACAAGATATGTTGTGTACGTAAGTTTTTCGTAAGAAGGTGAAACTTAAATTCAGGTTCCAGATTTGGTCTATCCTTTAAATTTCATACCTTATCCTTTTACTTGCTTGGATCTTGATTTGTTTTTGTTCTTTTGTTTTTTTTGGAAAGGAAAGTGTTATTAGTATTTCAAAAATCTCATTTTATACTTTTCACAAGTTTATTTTTCTTTTTAAATATAGAAAGTTTGAAGTGTAGAATAATAATTTTGGAATGCTAATAACAATTCCCTTTGAAAAAAGAGAATTAGTATTACGATTTAATGATATTTAAGTAAGGTTGCTATTCACACTTATTTTTACTTTTTATGTATTTTTTTTAGTTTTTGAACATCGAATTGAATAAATTGAAGAATATGAATAGACAAAATTTTCAAGAGTATGTGAAAAGTAAAAATAGATGTATGCTTAGCATTATCATATTTTAAAAGTTTTATGTCTGCATATTGGTGATGTTGAGTTTGACACTAGGTTTTCACACAAATTTAAATTAAATTATTATGACTAGTCATTACAAGTTGTACCTAAATATAGAAATACTGCAATTATAGCAATTTTTATATAAAATTAGTGTTGATATTTTGTGTGTAGAATCATAATGTTCCTCTTCTAAAGAATAGACTTGACGTACAAACAAAGATCGGAAAAAATCTTGAATGGGACAGGTCCACCAGGCTTCTGCTTTTCTTTGAAATGCAGTGGGACCAGTACAACTTACCATCCAAACTTAGGAACGACGATCATCTCTAGATCTTTTTTGTGAGGATTCCAAGAATCATTAAATTATATCCGTTTATCGTATGTCGTGTAATTAGAAATTATTTTAAATATTTTTATTTAAAATTAAACATGAACATGTAAACTGACCTTACGATGTACGATAAACGGACATGATTTGAGGATCTTTAGAATCCTCACAAAGAGAATTCGAAGAAGATCCTCATTTCAAATTTAGAACCCATCTTGGCCTAGATAATGGATGGATTGGCGGTAATACCAAAAAGGCTAAGGCCTTCTCCAATTGATCCGGCCAGAGGGCCGAAAATAGCCCAAAATAACACGAAAACCGTCTCCAACTGAGGGTTAGGCCAAAAGGCTTGTGGGCCCCACCGGGACAAAAAAAAAATGAAAAAGGCCAACCGAATGGCCCAACCCAGCCAGCCCCAGGCTAGGCTAGATTTTGAATGCAACGACTACTAGTTGACGTCAGCTAGCCGTTATTGTGACAACCCGTTCCAAATTTTACGTTTTTATTTTATTTTAAAAGCGTGAATTTACGAAATTGCCCTAGAGGTAAGGACTTTGACTTCCGTTGACCATCGACTTGAGAGATGTGGGACTTATTCTTTTAGCATATCCTCGTAATACTCGTTGGTACGAACGTATAGGTGAAAGCCGTTTGCGAGTCCGGATTATAACGGTATAGTTACGGACGTTCGAAATTGGTTATTCAAGGTTTAGTGTTAATTAAATTAAATCCCCACTTTGTGGGGTGAAGCAAAAATCAGAAATGAGGAAAGAAAGAAGAAAAAAAAAAAAAAAAAAAAAAAAAAAAAAAAAAAAGGGAAGTGGCTTTCCCGTCCACCCACACCCACCACAAGTTCCCATTTTCCAAGGCCGATTCCGGCCAACTTCGGTGGAGTTTTTCGATGCCACTACCACCATCTTGAAGCTCTCATTCCCCTCTACAAAAGCCACCCAAGAACCACCTTGATTAACCATGGGATGTGGCGGTTTGAGGCCACGAAAGTTGACGAAAATCAATAGTGCTCCGGCCACCCTTTTCGATTTTCCGGCAAATCGGCAAAGAGATGGCCGATGCCACCACTTGGGGTTTGTAGCCCATCATCCCAGGAGCAAAACACAACCAACCTTGACCCCGTTGGACCACCGTAGACGACGAATCGACGTCGGGAAGTTTTAGGCACCCGCCGACTTTGTGGGAAAAATTGACCATCTTCCATCCACATTTCGACTTCGTGGCAGGTATGAAAGTTGCTCCACTCACTAAGATATTCATTTCTATGAAGTTTGAGAATTTTTGGAAATAGTTGGATTTTCCAACGAGTCGGGGTGGCCGACCGCCACCCGCAGCGGCGCATGGCCAGTGAGCCGCCAATGCTATTTTTAGGTTATGTCGAATGTCTTGAATTCAGTTTTGTTATTTGAATGACATAGGTTGATCGTTGGAACCTAAATTCGTTACGATACGTTACTTGATGAAAATGTGAATCGACAATCCGACCGTTGGATCGTCACCAAACTTGGATACATTATAATGCATAATATTTAAAGATCATAGGAATTTATGGATCGGGAATCCAATGTATGGATCTTCCCGAATTGAATTTGTAAGTTAGTAAAATAAATGTTGACGTCCACTTGATTTTGGGCAAATGGCGGAGATCCAACCGTTGGATCGTAATGAAATTTTAATATGTTATTCTAGAAACATATTGTGGATCGTTGGGAGTTTCAGATTGGAAATCTGATATGCGGATCTTCCAAATCGAGCTATACAGGGTTGTAGACCCTACTGTCGATCTTTGATTGACGGTTGGCTTTTGGTCAATGGGTCTCAAATTATTCTTGAAGGTCCTTGAGGATATGTTTTATGTAAATTATGTATTCTATCGGTAAAACCCTTGAGATGTGATTTGATAATTGGTCACAGGCGACGATAGATGGTGATGTCTCGATGTGCGTGCAAGATAATCATAGCGTGGAATCCAAGTGAGTGGGCAATTTTCTTTCATAGGCATATAATTGATAGTTCCACAAGCACTTTTATAGTGATCTATGCTTGTTACCTACAATTAATCATTTCGAACTACGAATGGCTTGATCCCTGTTTAGGATACATAGGCAATCTAACAAGACGTTAGATGTAGCCATATAATAAATGAGATTAAATAATTGAGACAACAGCCTTGTTTAGTGAATTGAGCAATGTGAGGGACATTGGTGGGAATTATGAGATTTAACTTTATGATTTGGTGATTAAATGTTGATCATAAATCAATGCGTGAATAATCAAGAAATTGAAGTAAGGAAAGGCAAGTATGATAGTTAATGTAACTAGGGTCTAATTGGGCTTATCACTAATGATTACTCTCAAAAGTAAATAGTTTGGGAGTAGGGTGTTATTGATTGTACATGTTATGCCGTATTATATATATTTTGGGAATATCATGAAATGTTTGGGTTTAGATTGCATCATGGCATATTCATATGGATATTACCGAACCTGACTATTGTGAATACTTTGAAGTGCTATATGACGTCGCGGATGCCCAGGTAAGTCTCAGATGAGTACATGTTGATGTTAGTGATGTTAGTGAGTATGATTGTGTTGAGATATAATATAGCACATAAACCTGCACCCCGGTGTTAGTGCTCCCGCCCGTGGCCAGGGCACAGTCCTTCACGTGATGTTCACCTCCCGCACCTTACACTCACCTTGGATCCAAGGTAGGTGCACAGTCCTGTCGTACAGACCACTTTAGGTGGTTTCGATTCGTAGGTGACCCGCGATTATTCGCAGAGTCTTCATGTGATCATAGCACTTGAACGTATTTATTTACACCCAGTCTTGTCGTACAGACCACTTTAGGTGGTTCCGACTCGTGTGCAGGTATACTTATTGAGCTATTGGCTAACCATGATTGATGAGATATGAATAAGTCATACAGGTCACTATAGGTGACTCCGACTTATATGCTAGCCATGATTGATGAGATATGAATAAGTCGTACATGTCACTATAGGTGACTCCAACTTATATGCTAGCCATGATTGATGAGATATGGATAAGTCGTACAGGTCACTATAGGTGACTCCGACTTATATGCTAGCCATGATTGATAAGATATAGATAAGTTGTACATGTCATATTAGATGGCTCCGACTGATATATTATTTTGTATTGATTAAGTTCATTTGGCCTACTTATTATTGCATGGTGGAGTTGATGGCAAACTGTGGTTTTGGCCATTTCTGAGTATGGTTTTGATATATGTATATATGTTGTATTGTCTTATGGCAAAACGATATAGGTTTTACATTTAGGAGCATTACTTTTAGAGAGGTAATAACTTTGGGAAGCTTGATTTTATTGCTTACTCACACTCTCTGTTTGGTGCCCCCTAGGTTTTAGCTGCTGAGTTTGTATCGACAAGGATCTGTGGCGAATCTTAGTATTGATGGATATTTCTGAGGGTATGATTCTTACCCACACTCATGTACCTTACTTATGCTCTGACATCGTGCGTGAAATGGGTTCGCTCCCGCTCACAACGCACTTTGGTATTAATAATTTTTAGGCTCAAATTATTCACATTTTTCTACACTCTATCACATTTTATGGCTTCGTTACCTTCCAGGTGTCGCCCAGCACAGCTCGATTCATGGTCCAAGTAGACTTTCTGGGTCGGGGTGTGTCAGTTATATTTGAATATTTTTTTTTACAAATTAAAAAAAAAAATTTTAAATTCTTTTTTTTTTTCCTATAACGTCCTAAGTTTTTAAACAACATTAAATAACATTAAACAACATAAAAAAAAACATTTAACAACATGAAACTTAAACAACATTTTAAAAAACATTTAACAACATAAAACTTAAACGCCTACTCCATGCTTCTTTTGGCCAAAAGATGTGCAAAAAGATTCTGTTGTCGGTACTTGTTCGTGGCACGGGAATGTATCATCCTATAGCCTCATGTACTCATTTAAAGAGATATTACCAGCTATTGAATTCAAAGACAAATTAAGCCCATCATATATTTTTGCACGAGCCCTTTTCAACCTATTTGGATCCTCTTGGTTGTCATCAGACACTCCATCAATATACCTATATCGCTCATGCTTCACAATCATGTTGTGTAATATGATGCAAGACATCATGATGGAGTTCAAATTTTCTCGACTCTACCCTTTTGCTTGTTCCTTGATGATTTTTCCATCATGCTTGTAGAATACCTAAAGCTCTCTCGACATCTTTCCGGTATGCCTCTTGGTGTAAGGTAAACCACTTTTCAACATCATTCGCAGGGTTTCGAATTGCTTAGACAAGTGTCGCCCACTTTGGGTAGATGTTATCTGCTAAGTAATACCCTATATTGTACTGACGACCGTTGATGTAGTAGTCAAGTTGAGGTGATTTACCTTCCGTTAGGTTATTGAAGAAGGGTGAACACCCAAGAACTGTAATGTCATTTTGGAATCCAGGGACTCCAAAGAATGCCAGATTTATGTGTCATACGAGGCAACTGCCTTTAACACAATAGTTAACTTTCTCGACCTTCCACTAAAGCCTCTTTGCCATCCGGTGAGACAGTTCTTCCAATGCCAATGCATGAATGACCCTATCATGCCTCGAAAGCCATGGTCTTTAGCTTTGTGAATGAGCCGATCCAGATCTTCTTGATTTGGCTCACGAAGGTACTCCTATTTGTAAAGTTGAACAATTGTGTCACAGAATTCAATAAGAGTATCAAGACATGTAGACTTAGACATACCATATGTATTATCCATCGAATCAGCTGGGAAGACATAGGTCATTATTTGAAATGCAATAGTAACCTTTTGATGAGGTAAGGGCGGCCTGCTCTGTCCAGCTTTTGCCGAAAGTAGACTTACTGGACATCATAAAGTAAACGCTTGAAGACATGACGCCTCATCCGGATGCGACGTCTAAAATCCTCTTCTGTGTGCACCAAGTTGGGGTTGAAGTAGTTGTTCATTAGATTGGCATGCATCATCGCTCTATTTCGTGGTTTGTAAAAGCAACCAGCAACAGAGCCACCCCATTGAGGTTGTTCCTCAGTTGGTTAACACGCCATGACTGTAGCTATGGCTGCCACATATTATGTGTTGCGCTATGCTTCATCTTCTTCATCAGACTCTTTATCTTCTCGTCTCATCTGCGCCCATTTTTCTTCCAATTCGGAATTGGATGAGGTCCCCCAGTTGGAATCCGAAGAGGATCCAAAGTTGGAATACATTTCAAACTTGAATTGAAAGAGATTGAATCTAAAGGTGTGTGAATTATAGCCTAATATCCACCCTATTTATGGACATTGGAAGCTAAAGATAAGAAGTGCCACACAAATAAAAACCCTATCTAACATCCCTACAACCAATTACATCTCGATATGTGACACTCAAAAACTGAGACGTAAAATGATTGAGATTCCTTATCAACAAGAATCTGCAAAGTCACTCAGATATCGACACGTGGCACTCGAAATCCGAGACGCAAAATTATTGAGATTCCTTATCGAGTTAGTTTAATTATTGAGGTAGTTTAATTTAAGTAACCATATTAATTTAATTAAAATAACAAATTATGTTTGACCTTATATCTCTTTGGCTCCTCAGTTGGAGATGATTTTTTGTCACAGGGCTATGCTTGACCTATAACCCTCTGGCCTCTCGGTTAGAGATGGTAAGAAATATGGCCTGAAACTATTTATTAAAATATTAATTTTTTGGAGGGCTATAGGGCCAAAGAGAGCCCTCTGACTCTCCTTCGGTTGGAGATGGTCTAATAAAAAACTTTATACTGGCCAAAAATAATAATTAGAATACAATTGCGATTTGCACTCCAAAAAATTATATTAAACTTCATTTAAAATGCTAAAAACCAAATTCGACTTTTTTTCTTCTTCTAAATAGACAATATTATTTACAATAAAAAAATAAACATAAATTCCTAATGAACTAGCAACAAATTTAACTTAAACACATGCAACCAAAAACATTTTTCCATGTGACATTTATGAATTTTTTTATTTAATTGAGAGAGATGATTTCTTGTGGTCAATGGGACATTCCCATCTGATGATAACATGGAGAGAGTGCCACGTGTCACGTTCCTCTAAGACTCCAACGCACCTTCTCTCTCTCGGTCTCTCCCCCCAACCACCCAAATCCAAAGCCACTCATTCACTCACTGAAACCCTTCTCTCTCTCTCTCCCTCTCTCACTCTTCCCCCATCAATCACTTCATTTACTTCAAAACCCTCTCTTTCTCTCTCTAGAAACCGACCAAAAGAACAAAACTTGTAGGCACAACGCAAGAAAGCGCTACATCCCAAAGGCCAAAGAGCCCTTTTGCTTCTCCCCCCATTTTCCACTTAACAAAAAACACACACAAATTCGGAAAGTTCGAGTCTTTTCGCAGAGAAACTCAAATTCCAGCGAACAAAATTGGATTTTTAGGGTGAAAGAAATTAAATAAAATTCGGAATCCATGGCGGAGATTCAACCGCAGCCGGTTTCTGAGATCAACGGCGGAGGACAGTTTTTGATGGGTTCGTCCGAGACGGTAGGATCGAAGCGACAGCGGAGACCCAGCGTCCGGTTGGGCGACATCGGAGGAGACCAGCCGTACGATTCGCAGGTGCGCCGCGCCACCAAGCCGTGGAGGCTCCCGCCGGACCACCGCAAAGACGCCAATAAGTCCTCCAAGCCTCGACCTTTAACGAATTTAAGCTCCGTTGGGGAATTCCATGAAACCCTAGACGGTGAAGACAGAGAGGCCAATCTCGATAGTGTTGCCATTGGGAGCTGGAAGGTCAAGGACGCCAAGAAACGGGCTTCGAGCGTCATGAAACGGGTCAGATCCAATTGGGTATCTTCCAAGATCGATGAAGGTGGCGGCGAAGGGGACGAGAAATTCAGTGGAGCGGAGGACGTCGATGATGGGTATCAACGCGATTTTGATGTCGAAAACTCGGAAAGCCCGTTGAAAGAGCGGAGTCCAATTCATAGTTCGGAGAATTTGGGTGTGGATGGGCATGCCAATGGAAGGGAGCTGCTTTACCATGGAAGTAGAAGACCCATTAGGACCAGGATTTCGGAGGGTAGGGATAACCATGATGGTATTGAGCTATCCGGGCCGTCGGATAACGATGCCAGGGATTGGAATTGTAGAGGGACAAGTGGGGTTAGAATTGGGAATGAAGGAAGAGGAAGGTGTGGAGAAGATGGGGTTAGGGTTTGGCTCAATGGGTTAGGGTTAGGGCGTTATGCGCCGGTGTTCGAAATTCATGAGGTGGATGATGAGGTATTGCCCATGTTAACATTGGAGGACCTCAAGGATATGGGAGTAAATGCAGTTGGGTCCAGAAGGAAAATGTATTGTGCAATTCAGAAGCTGGGGAAGGGGTTTTCTTGACTTTTGCTTTTGTGACTGTTGGCAAACGAAAAATCGAAAAAAATCCTCAGCCATGGCAACGTAAGAGACATGCCTGCAAGTAAAACTGGTTTGAGCTTTTTGGTTATATTTTTTTCTCTCAAATCTCAACTCAGTAGTATTTTGGATAAGTAGATTTTGGTTTTCATTGCACTATTTACTTTATTTTTCATGCTTTTGATGCGGTGCAATTTTGGATCCTTGTACTTCATTTTGGTAGTAATGCTGAACTAGTTATAGTTATCCATTGATCAGAGAACTGTTGTTTTCTTAGTTGGTTGTAACCTCTAGGACAGAATGGGTAAAAGAAATGCCTATAATTGGTTAAAGGAAGGATCAATTGGAGTCATTTCGTTTCCGCTCTTCTTATTTCCATCAAGCATGCAGAATAATTTTGAGCTGATGGACAGTTTAATATATTTAATGATTTCCCAGGTAGAAGTGTTCTGTTGAATTTAATCTTCCTTATCTATTAGTTACTATGATGTTAATGTTGTATATAGAAAACTATTGTATCGAATTATAAACCTTTTGGTAGGTTAATGAAATAGCGGCGTTAGGCAAGGAGTTGAATTTGGAAGTCAGTCTGACCTGTTTTGTCGTGGCTAGCAAAGGGAAAGCCTGAAAGTTGTGATTATGATGTACAGAGTTGCATAGTTATCTTCGGACGTTTAACAGTAGATTGGATGTCAGGGGAGGGAATGTTCTCCCGATAGATCCTTCTCGTAGAACCAGGAGTGGGATATAGAGTCCAAGAGGTCATGCATTGTTGTTAGAAAATCCTTGGTTGATGAGGGTTTTAGGGTTAATGCTAAGTTGTTCAGAAGGAAAGGTTGCATTCACCAGTCACAGTAGGGTACATGAATTTGCATAATAACGGCTTGGAGTATGGCAGGGTATTATTTGTGCGTCTCTTTCCATTGTAACAGGGATAAATTCACTTGTGAGAGATAGATGTCTAGTATTAGGAATCATGCTTTGAGACCGAATCATCAAAGAGCCGGCGATTTGCCTTCTTGTTATACATGTCAAACTAAGTAGCTTTCACTGCATCTTGATTATAATTTTCCATATTTATCTTGTCTAAGTGGTGGGGCTGATACAGACCTCATCTAATTAGACTTGTTGATCTTAAACAAAAACATAAGGTTGAGGTTGCAAATAATGCTGCTGTTTTAGAGTGTACCAGGATTATAACTTGCACTGGTTGGCTGTAGTTTCTCAGTAATTTTCAGGAAGCATGCCTCTGTTCCATCAACAGGAAGCAAATTCGAGTTTTATTGACTAATCTGTACTTACGTGTCGTCATTATTCTGGCGTTCCCTAATGTACTTGTGCAAAAATCTGCGAAGTTTCATAACGTATGTTGACCTAAGAAGAGTTCAGGGCCATTTCAGCTGAAGTGTACTATAAGTTTGTGTAAAGGCTTTGCTTGTATAATTGTATTGCATTTTTTCAGAGTTTGGCAGCTCGATATAGTGAGACCGAGGCATTAGAGCAGAACCTGCTGATGATCCGAGGTTCAGATCAGGACGGAATTGAATTGCCCTGTAAATCACTGTCCTCCAAGAAGATTGGCTTGGCAACTTCTCTTAAAGAATAAATTATAGCAATGGTCCTTCAACTTTAATCAAATTGAAGTAATGATCCCTCAACTAATCAAAACGTGTAGTTAAGATCCTTTTCCTCAACTCCGTCAAAATTCTATCAAAATGAGTTATGTTAGAAGGATCATTGTTATAATTAGGTTAAAGTTTAGGGATCATTACTTTAATTGAGTTAAAGTTTAGAGATTATTTCTCCAGTTGAATTAAAGTTGAGGGACCATTGATACAATTTTTCTTATTTGGTTTTTTATATTTGTCCTTTGATTTAGCCTCACATGCGTAACACGTGACTCATTTTGACGGAAGTTCTAACAGAGTTGTCGAAAAGCACCATAGTTGCATGTTTTGATGAGTTGAGGGATCAATGGTAATGGATTTTTAATTGAAAAATCATTATTCCAATTAGGTTAAAGTTGAAGGACATATTTTGGTCACAAACTTTTGAAATCGATCAATTTCGTTGTCCTCGTTTCAGATTGCACTTCAATGTCATCCTTGTTGTCCGTCTCTATAAAAAATAAAAGAAAAGAATGTGACAAGGTTAAGTTGTTGCTTGCGAACTGCAGCACTTTTTTTTTTCTATAGTCAATGGTAGAGAACTTCATATGTATCAGAGTAATTTTCCTAAGAACTGGTTGTAGGCTTGTGGTACAAGTTAAAATTTTCACAACAGTCATTAAGATTGATCTAACGGCTAAGAATCCCTTCCTGCCGGGAGACTTTTCTAATGTACTACGACCATGGCTTGGTACACTAAGTCTCAACAATACAAGTGGATGGACATTTGAAAAAAATACTTTTTTCCATTTACATTATAACACTTGGTGTACTGAATCATGTTCTGTACATTGAAATTTTTTTCCTTGTGTTCCTAACAACTGGGTCCCATTTTGTCAGATCTGCTTGTATTTTGAAGAGTCCAACTTGTTCCCTCCTTCCTCGGCTCCTCCACTTTGTTTCAGTCAACACCTCACAATTTCTATTCTTTGGTTGCATTCATTCATTTTGTGTGCAAATCCTCACCAGCAAGAAATAAACCATGTTAATAAATAACACCTCCCTCCATCCTTCCTTTGAGCTTCCTCTTCACATGCAAACCCTAATTAATTCAATGCTCGCCAGCAAGAAATGAACTATTTAAATAAATAACACCCCCCCCCCCCCTCTCTCCCTTTAAGCTTCATATTCACATGTAAACCCTAATCTCTTGAGTTGTTGCATCATTGGTCTCTTCCTCGTTCCATTCACCAACTTCTTTGAACATATTTTATGTGAGGTTAGCTTGGTTTGCCTTCTACCTCATTCCCATTATTGGAGTTAGCTCCCTCATCTGCGTCTTTCCACACACCCAAGGGAGATGAGGAAGCTAGCTTCGATAATGTGAATGAGGGAGTGGGCGAATCAAGCTAACTTCAACGATAACAAAGTCGGGGAATGGAACAAGGAAAAGGCCAATGGTGAGCATGAGGGAGAGGGTGCTATGGCGCTGGCGGGTGAGGTTGAGAAGGCTGATGACAATGCTAGTTTACTTTGTTCAAGTGACTTGTATGACCATATACATTTAAGGAATTATGGCTTCCTCTTCACAATTTGTTGATTATTGCTTGGTTCACAGTAGTTCTTGTTCGACAAATCCAAATTTAATTTCGTCCAACATAATGATTTAACTTTGTCCAACATAAGAACTACAGGAATGAAGCTAACTCATAGTTAAAGAAGTTGCAGTGGCGGAGATCAGTTGTCTTCGCTATGTCCATCAAGCATGCTGAATACAGAATAGTTTTGAACCTTAAACAAATCACAAGGTAAATGCTGCTGTTTTGCAGTGTACTAGGTTTTCAACTCATTAGTTGGCTTTAGTTTCTCAACAATCTTCAGGAAGCATGACCTTGTTCCATTTGACGGGAAGCAAATGCGAGTTTCACTGACCAATATGTTGTGTAATTGTATAGCATTTGTTCGGAGTTTTGTTAGGTCTAAGAATGCCGAGTTTGAGACATACCTGATAACATATTAAACAAATCGAATCAAAGCTGCATCAGTACATCAACTAACTTTCAATCAAAACAGGTGCAATTTTACGAATGGGAGATGGATTACTAGTAAATACAACAGTGCTGAGTTAGAAACACAACTGGTATTCGAACAAATGGGAGCAGCATCTGAACAAATTTCATCAATACAATTCTACGAAGAAACTCGATATAAAGAATTAATGGTATTGTGCACAACTGTCTTTAAGGCTAAATGCCTCGCATTTTGCCGGTAGGGAAGATCCAGTAGTGCTTGATCTTAATCGGAAGCCTTAACACAACGCGTGGGGCAGACGCTTCAGTTCGATAGTCGGATCAGACTTTGGTTTCTTTGCATTACAACACCTCAACGCCGAGTCCTCCCCTTTATTCAAGTTTGATGGCGTTTCCCTCCTGCTTGTTAGGTTCAGCAGGGAAGTATGTATACCCACCAAATCGCCAACTCGACTGATTACCCGCCAAAGGTGCAAACCAAATTATATCACACTATTTTTGCAGAGTCCTACGTCTGCTTAAGAAGATCTGCTCTGCCGTGCGACGCAGATACACATATACGCGCTCTGCCCCTTAACTCTCACAACAGCAACCCGTACGGACATGTTTTATCTCACTTTCGAAAAGCCAAAAGCGAAAGGTGTTGCTTTTGGTAGCACGCTAAAATCTCATTGTTCACTTTTTATAAGAGTAATTTTTTTTCTTTTTAAATATAAAAATTTGAAGTATAATGAGATATTTTGAGTGTCACTAATAACATTCTAAAACAATTTGTTTTTCCAATTTTATTATATAATAATGTGTTATATTCAAGTGAAACTTTAAAGTTAGAGTTTTGAAGGTTTTTTTTTTTTTTTTTTTTTTCATGTTTGGTTATTTAAGATTGAACTTCTTTTGTTTATTTAGCGAATATTATGTTTGCAGCACTTTTTACTTATAATTAATGACATTTATAAACTTGCAATTGATGAGTGCTAAAGTTGGTTTTGATTTAAGTGATTGTTTTTTAGCATCAATATATTGTTCTACTTTTTAAAGATATCTTAAGGAGAGGCTTTTTATAAATTTCGCACATGGCTTCCAAAATCTCAGAGACGGCTGTGGTAAATAGGAACATATAAATGTACGAGAATAGTTAGTGAATTAGCGATTTACTCACATTTTGCTTCAGACATTCCCCAGAAAAAACAGGAATTTTTGCTGAATTCTAAAGCATTATCCGATTACAGTGGAATCATTCTCTCCGAGAACCTGAAAGCCCACATATTCTGCAGCTCCGACCTGAAGAAGTTGCTGTGTTCGGGAATCCACCGGAGTTTCTGAGGCACTCTAATGGTACCGTCCTCTCCAAGAATGACGTTAATAGAAGATATGATCTGTTGAGCTGCTGGAGGTGATATCGGAGTTGCACTCATATGAGCCTGGCAAGCATGTTTAAGAAATCGTATAACATCCTGAAAAGCAAAAATGATGTGAGGGCGAGGAGATAATAAGCGAAAATTAGGTTAACAAAAATGAACAAAAAGTACCAACCTCGGATGCAGCTATATAACCACTGCACGAACCAAATTATTTTGTAAAAGTTCCCAGCATTAATCAGTGGTTCCAAGTCATCTTTTCTATGCGAGTTGATATATATAATCCATTCCCTAGAATATTGTAACTATACTCTTGTTTTTTGTTTATCCAAACAACATTGATTTGATGTGATAAGT